GATTTTTTAAATTGTAATATGGTATTTATATGGGAGTCTGGGAACAGGCCAGAGAAGCCTGTTATCATTTATATTAGACGACAGTATAAACACTGTACTATACATATATATATATATATATATGTATGTATATATATATATATATATATTTTTTTTTTTTGGAGAGGTTTTTGCTATAGGGCGCGTGCGCTCACCAGACAGACAGAGAGAGACATAGAGATAGAAAGCGAAAAATCACCCCCCAGTGGGGATGGCCACGCCGCAATCCCTTCTCCTTCATTCTCCTCTCGGGATCTGGGGCACGCACGCACATGCGCCCGGCGTGAGTTTTAAGCCACTGGGTCCGGGACGCGAACCGCGGTCAACTATGTTCCCACGACATAGCCATTACTAACTGCTGGTTCCCTGTACTATATTATTTAAAATATAGCCAAAGTCACGTGAGTTAGTTTAAGAGTAGAACAACATATCTACCAAGTAAAATGACAGTCTAGATAAAACATGGGGCCAGCAGGTGACATGGTGGTTAAAGCACTAGATCCCACATAGCTGACTGCAGTTTGAGACCCAGTCCCTGCGGTTGAAAAACATGCCAAGCATGTGCATGCACACGTACATGTGTGTGTGTGTGTGTCCAAAATCCCAAAAGGAGAATGAAGAAGGGACTGCAGCATGGCTCTTCCCTCAAGGAGTGATTTCTCATTTCCCCCCTCAGAAAAAGGCTAACTAAAAGGGGGAAGGTAGGGAGGAAAGTAAGAACTTACATTCATAAGGTCCAATAGAAAGATAATGACAACTTAGACTCTAGATACCAAAATATTGGTAAACAAAAAGTGAAAGAGGCCCCTCACAGCACAGCAGTTAAATGCTGTACAGAGGAAAGAAAATCCGCCATGGCTCGCCAGGTTGGAGTCTCACTCTTGTGGCTTGAAAAACCTGTGGAGTGCAAGAGCACATCCAGGATCGCGACAGGATGGAAAACTGAGAGAAAAGGACTGTGACGCGACCAGGCCTGGGTGGGTAGTGCTTGCTTTCTTTTTTTCTTTCTTTCTCTCTTTCTCTCCTCTCTCTGCTATAAAACATTATAAAAAAAAAAAAAAAAAAAAAAACCTTAAAGCAAACAAATGAACAAAGAAAGCTAAAGATTTCCTCATGGGAGAAAAGTTAACTAAAGTTAAAAAGATTTCTTTTTTTTTTTTTAAGAAATTTTTTTATTCTAACTTTATTTTACTAATATTATTTTAATTTGACCAGAGAGAGACACAGAGAGAGAGAGAGAGAGAGCACACACAAGCCGCCAAATCTGGGACTTTAACTGCTGTCAGCCATGTGGGGGTACAACACCCCTAACCACCACACCACCTACTATTCCCTAAAGTTAAAAAGATTCCTATGCGTGCAAAAAAAAGATAAATAAAGGGAGACTTCATAGAAGAAAACATCTTTGCATAAGTAGATCAGTTAAACAATGCTAAAACATTATTTCACCTGTACTTTCCTACCTAAGCAGGAACACATAAGTACAATGAATTAACATTTAAAATGTACCTCAAGAGGAAGTAGGTAAAGGGAGAATATGCTTCCAGCATATAATTTACCTACATCAACATGTCAATAGGTACAGTACTACAGTAGGAATCCTAAAATTAAATTAAAACAAATAACAATATTCTAGAAAGATCCTGACATGGGGCTTAAAAGGACAATATCTTTAATACTATAAGACACAAAGGTGAAATAACCTTATGTCAAATACATCCTGAAGTAGGGGAAGAAGTTAGGAGCTATACTTCTTCATCTGATGGATAAATTAGCTTTAAAAAAAGAGAAAGAACTTAATAGGAAAAAGTTCTGTAGTAAAGCAGGGCAACAAAAAGAAGAATGAGCTAAAAGGAAGATTAAAGAATGAAAATTCTTTCCTATCAGAACAGGGGAAATGCCATTTAAAAACGGAAAAGAAAAAAGGAAACAGCTGTGCAGACAATACTTTGGGCATAGGATAGAGGATGAGGTGCTAGGGCAGTACTAGTTCAGATAAAAATAGAATAGGCCACTTTTGGGAAAATGGCTCATTGAACTGTTTAGTTCATTCTACATCCTTAACGTTTCAATTTTAACTGAAAAATGTCTTGGAAAGTATAATCAGATCTCACTAGAAAAAGATGTCCTCAATTTATATGCATCTGTATTTCACTCCCAAAGACCACCTATTATATAAGCAACAGAAGAAATGCTGGTGAACGCTTTATTACTTTGCTAGCCAACGAGCAAAATCAGATTAAAGAACAAAGTAATAAAGATACTGTAATATAGCTATTGATCAGAAAAATCACAACTTAATCCTTGTGGTGTGAGAGTAAAGTTTTGCTATGCAGAATACACATAAATTTTTGTTTTGTAGGTACATGTGCATGTCAAATGTTCCAGAAGAGTAAGTCTGAGAGGGCTGTAATTAATTCTTAGGAATATACCTTAAAGTAGGAGTCAGCTGGGACCAAGAGTTGGCATAATGGCTATGTAGCTGGACTCCCATGTAGTCAACTGCAGTTTGAGTCCTGGACCCAGTGGTTTAAACTCACACTGGGTACGGGTACATGTGCATACATGCCCAAGATCCCAAGAGGAGAATGGAGGAGAAGGGATTACGGCGTGGCCATCCCAACTCCCACCCCTGGGGGTGATTTCTTGCTTTCTGTCTCTGTCTCTCTCTGTCTTTCTGGAGAGTACTCATACCCTAAAAAAAAGAAAAAAGAAGTCAGCAAAATTTTTCTGCAAAGGACCAGATAGTAAATACCTTAAGCTTTGCTTATGATCTGCTGAAACTACTCATCTCTGCCACTTAAGTACAAAACAGCCAAAAATGATAAGCAAAATGAACACACATGGTTCTGTTACAATAAAACTTTATTTATGGACATTAAAATTTAAACTTCAGGGCCAGCAGGTGGTGTGGTGGTTAGAGGCGCGTGACTTCCACATGGCCAACCACAGTTCAAGTCCCAGACCTGGCAGCTTGCTTTCTCACTTTCCCTCTCTTTCTCACTCTGTCCCTCTCTGGTCAAATTAAAAATAAATAGATAAATAAAGTTAAACTGAAGGGAGGAAAAGGGTCATAAAATAAACAAATAAATAAACTTTATATCATTTTCACATGTCACAAAATATCATTCTTTGATTTCTTTCCCTCAACCATTTTAAAATGTAAAAACCATTCTTAGTTCCCAGTCCACACCAAAACAGGCAGTAGGCTAGATTTGGCCTGTGGGCCATAGTTTGCTGATCCCTACCTTAAAGAATGCCAAACTTCATAAAAATTAGTTTTGCAATACCACATAGTAATTTGATGTCTTTTGACTTTATTTTAATCCTAAAAAAAAACAAGGCTCCCTTACAGTCATACAAACAACACTAAAAATCGTTAAGAACAGACCAAATAACTTAAAAGTTTGCTCTTCATGAAAGATAGGAAAGGTGCTATAAGAAACTAGCAAAAGAGGTATGATGCAGGACCAGTAGACGGCGTAATGGTTATGTCACTGGATTCCTTCAAGTACTGAACCCTGCAGCTTAAAACTCACTGCCAGGGGAACAGCAGGTGGCGTGGTGGTTAAGGCACTCAACACTTACACATGGCCGACCATGGTTCGAGTCCTGGTCCTGGTGGCTTGCTTTCTCACTTCCCTTCTCTCTCTGTCTCTCTCTCTCTGGTCAAATTAAAATAAATAAATGAATAAATTAAAGAAAAAGTTTTAAAAAACAAAACAAAACAAAAACAACTCACTGTCAGGTGCATGGGTGTGCATGCCCAAAATTCTGAGAGCAGAATAGAGAAGGGATTGCAGTATGGCCATTCCCCTGTGGGTGATTTCTCGCCTTCTCTCTCTGTTGCTCTATCTCTTCGGCGAGCACACGTGCCCTATAGCAAGTATCTCTCTTTAAAAAAAAAAAAAAGAGGTGGGGCAAGCAGGTGGCGTGGTGGTTAATGGCGCTGAACTGACACATGGCCAACTGCAGTTCAAGTCCCGGACCTGGTGGCTTGTTTTCACACTTTCTCTTCCCCTCCCCCATCCCCGTTAAAATAAAAATAAATAGTTAAATAAAATAATTCTTAAAAAAAAAAAAAAGTAAGAGAGGTATGATGTCAGATACATGTTTCCCAATTGTTCACTCCCAAAATATTTCAGGGTGAAGTGAAAGGCAAAGAAGCATGAATATGAGGAGAGAAACGTGATACTTCTTTTAATTATTTTTATTTAAATTTATTTACATATTTTAACTTTACCAGGGAGGGACAGAACAAGAAAGACATACAGAGAGAAAGAGAGAAAGTGAAAAAGCAAGCCACCAGGTCTGAGACTTGAACCGTAGTTGGCCATGTGGGAATCCAGCACCTTTAACACCATGCCACTGTCAGGCTCTGAAATGTGATATACTTCTACCTTACTAGAAAACCCTATCAAGTTATCTAGACATTTGCTTACCAACAAACAAACAAACAAACAAACAAAAACAGCTCTAGTTTACAAGCATGTATGGTAGCGATGTTCTTGGTATGAAGCAATAAGCAACACATTCTGAGGTTCATATCACGTCTAAATAAGAAGTGTTTTGGCTGGACTGGCAGATGGCACAGAGATTAAGCTGGACCCCATGTGCCAACTTGCACAGTTCAAGTCCTGGACCAAGCAGCCTGAAAAACATGCCAGGCACATGTACATGCAGGCCCAAAATCCAGAAAGGAGAGTGGTGAAGAAACTGAGGCATGGCCATCCAGCCTGGGGCAAGAGTGGTACTTTCTCATTTTCCCTCTCTCGCGTTTTTCTTTGGTGAGTGCACACACCCAAGAGTAAAACTAAGAAAAGGGTTTAAGCACCCCCTCCCCAAATAGCTGAGGGATAGTTCTCTCCATTCATGCCAACTATGCCATGAGGTTTTTGGGTTATTGACTTTTTATTAAAATAAAATCCACAACATATCAGAATGTTCCAATTAATACCAACCTTGCATGTTCCTGAACTCCCACAATCTCCACTTCACTATCTGAAGAGGCAATATTAATTTCTTCATTGAGTGGTGCCTTGCCAGCGGATACTTTGTCACTTGCTAGGAATCCTGGATCCAAATGACCTGAGAAAGAAGGGTAGAAAAAACAAGGACTAGTGTGATTTCTTATAGCGGAAACAACTCTGACAGATTTCTCATCCAGGTAATTATAGAAACAAAATAGCCCTATGAGAGCTTGCCACAGAGACACTGTTACCCACTCAAATAAGCTGAGCAGTGTTCTTTTCCATTTAAGTTGGCTTTTAAAAAAAATAAACAGTACGTGCTTGTGGCATGTATTCAAATGACATGGTAGTACAAAAAAAGTATGAATTCAAAGTCTCTCACTTTCTCCTCCTTCTTAGGAGAAAAAGCTTTTAATATTTTGGTAAATATCTATATCTAAATATATGTACATGTAAACTCTATTTTAAAATTAGTATTTTCTAATAATACACTACATTGTATTCTGTTACTGTTTTTTGCATTTAGCTTCAGTCTGTTTTTATATGACTTGCATAACCATCTCGAGAGCAATGGGGTTCCTTACTTCTTATCATTTTATAGGGAAAAAAATCTAAACCAGAAAAGTACAAAGGCATAACTGGAATGTAATCATTAATATCATATTTATACCGGAGTGCTCTGTAAAAGATTAAATATTTTTCTCTCTAAAGGAATCCAATTTTGACAAAATCAAGACTCAAAACTACATCTTAAAGGGAAGGCTAGAGGTAGAACAAAGTTTTGGTTCTAACCAACTGAAACATAAGCAGTACATGTAGACAGCTCTCGTTAAACAGAAATAAACCACCTACTCCAGAAAGGTGACACGGCCTGTGGCATGGGGGCATATAAGGACTTTGTCCGGAAGGGTCTTCATAAAGCATATCTTATATGTGATAAAACACATTCTCCAACATCATAGAAAACATAAGCTTCATAGAATCCTTTCTCCATAGAAACCAGCAGGGGGGCATAATGGTTACGTTGCTGGATTCCCACATAGTTGACCACAGTTTGAGTCCTGGACCTGGCAGCTTAAAATTCATGCCTGGTACGTGTGCACACATGCCCAAAATCCCAGGAGGAGAATGAAGAAGGGATTGCGGTGTGGCTATCCAACCTTGAGGGTGATTTTTCGCTTTCTGTCTCTCTTGCAAGTACATGCATCTTATAGCAAAAAAAAAAAAAAAAAAAAAAAAAAAAAAAAAGAAAAGAAAAGAAAAGAAAAGAAAAGGAAAAAACTCTCAAAACAAAAATTTATTTCTCAATAAAGGCTCATAAGCAGGCCAGTCAGTGGCAAGGTGGTTAAGGCAGCTGGAACCCACATGACTGACTATGTGGTTCAAGTTCCAATCCCAACAGTTTGGAAAGCACTCCAAGCATGTTTGTCTGTGTGTCCAAAATCCCAAGAGGAGAATGGAAGTGAAGGGACTGTGATATGAACAAGAAAACACCAAGAGGGTATTTTCTCAGCACCCTCCCCTTGCCTTGTGAGTGCATGCTCCCTGTAGCAAGTTTTAAAAGAAAGAAAAGAGGCTAATGGCATAGCATCAAAGTACATGGCTCTAAAAACAAGTCTTATTAAGAGTCCAAATAATTCAGTCCATGTACCGACTCTTGAATGTTCGGACTTGGATGAAGTTTAGGATACCTAGGAGTTAACTTCAGAAAAACAAATCATTGTAATGGGTACAAATTTTCATTCTTTAAAGGGTATTTTATTTAAATATACTGCCATCTGACACAAAATTATTTCTCCATATTTAAAATAAATATTCATGACATCTCATATAAATAAGGCCAATGTAAATAAAACAAAGTTTTATACACACAACTTTCCCTCTCCCCTCCCTTCACTCACTCCAGTGCTTCAAAGTCACTGAGTAATCTTACTTTTTCATATTCCTATCAACTTTTAGTGTAACCCTCTTGGAAAGCTACAGACCATTTCAAAGTAAACTTACAGTTTTTACGCACTCTAATCCTGTAAAACCCATCCCTGAAAATCTACCCTAAAGGAAAAGATTTCAAATAAGCAAAATGCTGTGATGTCCAAAGATAGTCACTCTGCAGAAACTTGGGGAAATATATACATAACATACAAAGTATCATATATAACATTATAAAAACAGGAGTGCCGTTAAAAGCTGTAAAAAGCAAACAACTTTGAATATGATTATGGGTCTTTCTCGCAATTCTTTAATATTTTTACCTTTTTTTTTTTTTTGAGAGGTTTCTCAACATGACAAGAGATTGGGATTGTATTATAATCTGCATGAGTTTCTAATCCAGATAGGTCCCTATGTGATGCTGGCAGTGGGCATCTGTCTTCAAATCATACAAGCTGGTGACTATTACCAGACAAAACCCAATTTCGTTCAATCTAGGGTGGTTGCTTAAATGGCATTTGATTACATATAGGTTTGGTAAATCCAGAGTCTTGCTCTGAACCCTAATCCGTAAATTGTGGTCAAATCTTTTATCTAATTTCTACTTCCATGTTTTATTAATAGTTATGACTATCAACATGCACACTGTTTCAACCATACTACTACTGAGAGGAACACAAATTGACAGTCTATCTTTTCAAGTCTTCAACTTGTCCATATTCAGTAAATCAGCCTTTATTGTCTACTTCATCTGTTTGTTCTTATAAGTACTTTTTTATGACAAGCTCTATGCTGTGTTGGGACTGCCATGAGGAACAAGGCAAGACATAGTGTCCACTCTCAATGAATCTACGATATATTCAGAGATACTAAAAGCAGTCCCCTGCACTATGGCCTGAAAATTGCTACAAAGGGGAGGTAAAGAGTAGCCTAGAAAGGGCCAACAGGTGGCGAGGTGGTTAAAGCACTGGATTCCCACATGGCTGACCATGGTTCAAATCCTGGACCTGGAGGCTTAGTCACTCCAGGTACCTGTGTGCTTGAAGTCCTGAGAGAATGAAGAAGCAACTGTGGTATGACCATTCCCCTTGGGAAGTAATGCCTCACTTTCCCTTTCTCTGTCTCTTTGTCTCTCTCTACTGCAAGCACCTGAGCCCTATGGCAAAAGCCTCTAAAAAATAGAGAGAGAGAGAAGAGGAAAAAAAAAAAAAGAGTAGCATAGGAACATGTAGAAAAGGCACATTTCCCAGACACAACGGTGAACAGGGAAACTGAGCTCTCAGGGAACAACAGGCATAGGCAAGGTAAAGTAGCAGAGGAATATTCTGTTGCCCTTTGGGGGTATAAAAGTTTGGTGAAATGTTAAAACAGAGAAATGAAGGACAAGGCTGGCAAAATTAGCATAGGTGAGAGAGAGTAAGGAGTCTATGCTTGACCTTGGGAAGTAGGAAGCCCCTAAAGAATTTCAGCAGAGCATTCACATAAGTGATCTCATTTTGAATTTTAAAGAATTTCCTTTAGAAGTGTAGGAATGAAACTGATGGCAGGACATGAAATACTGAAGGCAAGGAATCTAGTTAGATTCCAGCAGTTTTCTGGCTGAGAAATGAGTGTGGCTGAACTAGGGAAGAGACAAAATGGAGAATGTTATGTAGGGAGGGAAAGAAGTGTTGCAAACTGGGCAGATGAAAGAGCACAGAAAGCCAAAAATGGTGCTAAAGCTTCTGACTTAGGTAACTAAACAGCTACCATGTCATCAGGCACCAAAGAAAGCTACAGGTCACTGCTAAGGACATGATGACAATGTGCTTTGGGGATGGCCAGTAGGAAGCTGGAGAAATAGTCCTAAAGCTCAACTCATGAGTCAAGACAGGAAGTGCAGACTGGACTAGTCCTCAGCAGCAGTGGGAAGATAAAGGTCTTCCAGAAGAGTGAAGGGGCTAGAACAGAACCCTGAATAACTAAGGTATTAGAACACTCATAACTAAGAGATGAAAAAGGTACCCACAAAGGAAAGTGACAGATAGAAAGAAAACCACAGATGTGAAACCATGGACACCAAACAGCACTTTTAGGAAAAAGTACTTGAAAATGCCCACCTGGGAGATCAGGCTGGATTGTAAACTTTTTATAGCCAAAATTACAGTCAAAATTATTTGTCTAATAAAGTAAAAGCAGTATATAAATAATTTGCTTCTGGACTCATAATGAATGAATAAATTTAGAAGAATATGAAATACTGGTGATGGGTATCTTGTTTTTCTTAAGACAGTTCAAAATAAAAGCATAGTAACTTTTCATTTTCCCCCTTTTTAAAAAAAAAGAAAAAAGGTAGAATGATGGTATTTCCAGCTCTGAAATGAGGCTATGAAAGGTGGAAGGGTCAGGATAGAGTACTAACTCAGGCTATTCAGAGCTACTGATGACTGAGACATTGCATAAAATATTCCTAGCAAAAACATCAAAACAGAACGATGGTTACGGAACTGGCACAGATATTCAGAATGAACTTAATTCAGTTGTATTCTTATTGTTTGCCATTAATCACTATTGTTTAAGAGCATTAAATAACCATGGAAGAAGAGTTTGATTATAGCGACTGTCTTACAATCTGCCTTTTTAATTTCGTTTAATTCGATTATTCTTATTTTTAGGACCACAAGAAGCTGGGACTGGGCTCTGAGTCTATCACAGTGGTTTTAAGTGTCTCTTGAGGCTCAGACCCCTGGCTTCTTGGTAATTAGGCATGAACAGTTTTGAGGTGGTTGTTAGTATAAAGTATTCATGACAACAGGACTTGAAAGTGGAGCGAGAGGCTAAAAGCCAGGCACCAGTAATCGAGTGAAACTGTGATGGAGTCAAAATAACAGTGGAGGGACCAGCAGGTGGCGTGGTGGTTAAGGTGCTGGACACTCCCAAATGGCCAACCACAGTTCGAGTCCTGGACCTAGTGGCTTGCTTTCTCACTTTCCCTCTCTGTCTCTGATTAAATTAAAATAAATGAATGAATAAATAAAATATAAAGAATTTTAAAAAAATGACAGTGGAAGTGTAACCCCCTGGGAGACAGAGGCTGCTGGTATTGGTACATAAGGATGGAACAGTCATTCAAAAGTGATCCTGATCCCCAAATCGGAAGTTAGGAGCAGCTTTTCCTTCAGAGAACTACAGAAAAGGCAGCATTTTCAG